CACCAGTTTTGATTTCATTCCTTTACATCACACACTGAATCCTTTTTTTTTTTTGGTGGCACCTTTTTTTTCAACACCTTGGGTGTTTTTGATTAAATAATAATTATTTTAGCTAAGTCCGGCATGGTGAATCTCTCCATTTAGCTACGGACAAAGAGGGAAGCCTTGTTTATGAATTTGGGTAGCCCATAGATGGATGGTGCTGTGGTGTACTGTTAGTTGTTTGATTGATTTTGTTCCAAGTTCTTTCTGGTACTTTTGTTCTCTGTGATAGTACTTGGATTGAGCTTGATCTTTGTGTAATGGCCATTTTCAAATTGAATTTTGAGTTTGATGAAGTATTATATCAAGAAGGACTTCATTGAAAATGGCAGTAGATTCATAGGGAAACGTAGGGTAATTAGTATCTAGTTATGAAAAAGTTACTAATTAATAATGAGGTTTAGGTGATTGTGTAGGATATTAAAACATGTTAACAACTGATATCTGATTGCCACAACATTACCATAATTACTTGAGAAAATACACTACAAAAACATGCATTCAAGAAATGTAATAATATATCATGCTTAGCTGATGTTTGTGTTCTTGCTAATAATACTTTCAGATCCCCACTGTTTTTGTCTTCAGTACTGAAAGGAGTATATATAAAAGGATAAAACCTTAAAAAACAGCTTCTGGAACTTGGAAGTTATAAATTGATTAAGAAGCAGGAAATTATGCCTTAGCTCAGTGTTCACTTTTTTACATTTTTAAACAAATGTTGTACAATAATCCTTGGTGGATACGACTCCTCCCAATAACGATTTTGTTTTAAATACGACTTTTCTTCTGTGCACGGAATGATTTTACATTGATTTGACCTCCCACAAACTACTTCCTGACAGATGCGACACACGACCATGATTTTTGGGCAGAAGGTTAAATAACGACCTTTCCATAAAGACATTTTTTCATATCAATATTGTAATTTACAGAGACACCTGAATACGGTGTATACAGTACGGAACAAAGAGGTTACATGACCGGAGATTGCTTCACAGCTTAGTATATGTATCTTGGCACCCCTAGGTGTTCAAGTCAAAGTCCTTGGTCCTTACAAAGTCCTTGGTTTGAAACTTTCAGGTCCTGAAAGGTAACCAGGGGTGGTCAGAAACTGTTGTTTGTCTTCACCCTACTAGTGGAATTAAGGTTTATTCTTTTAGTGAATGTAGTAGATTTTGAGCTAGTGGCCTAGACATTAAGTAACTTGATTAGTACTTACTAGCGGGTTGTGAAGATTATTAACTCCAGGGTTGTTGAGTGACAGACTCGACTGATATGTGTGGTTAATGAAATGCCATCCGGGATAGCTGAGAACAGGATGTTGCTGTGAAGAAGAAGAAGGCTTGAAGTGTTGATATAGAAATGTTGATATGACCCCAAAGCTGTGAGGAAAGCAACAAAATAAACAAAACATGGAAATTAGAGAATTTTTAATCAACTTGAAATTGTTTTAATACAACATATTATGTTTTATGTTGTATTTGTATTCAGAGAGGATTACCTTATTAGGTATTGGCTAGAGTCCAGCAATAATGTAGTTCATATATTTATTCTTACTATTTTACTGGTTCTTTCAAATTTGTGAAATGGTCCCTTTTCAGATCTGAGATCAAAGAATCCAAGTTTCAAGGTGAAATTTTGGTTTAGAGAGGGGTTGTTTTGTTCAATTAACCCTTTTGAGATGGGTCATGGGTGAAAAGCCATGTCATCTCGTTTGTTGACTCGCATTGAAACTTCTATTGAACTACTATTTCTTCAGGTTATGTCAATAACTTTGGTAGATTATAATTCAAATTTTAGTACTATATATTACTCAATTTGTTAATTTAAAAGCAAATATTAAAAACACAGATAAATATTGA